GTTCTGACTCATACTGACTTTATGCACGACAGAGCGAAGCATTGCCCAGTTTTGCACCGTCCTCACATTCTTTGCTAAGCTTGAGCCCACTGCTGCTGCCACTGTGCCAATTCAACTCATTGTCCATGGTCTTCCTCTTTTTTACTGTCCCTCTACTTTACCTAGCATGATGTCCTTCTCCAGAGACTAGACCAGTCCCCCCTGATAATATGTACAAAGTTTGAGAGATGAAGTCTGACCATCCTAGCTTTTAAGGAACACTCTGGCTGTACTTCTTCCAACACAGAATTGTTGGTTCCTCTGACAGTCCATGGGACTTTTAATATCCTTCTCCAACACCATAACCCAAATATATTCGTTCTTCTATGGTTTTCCTTGTTCATTGTCCAACTTTCACATGCATCTGAGGCTATTGAAATTACCATGGCTTGGGTCAGGTGCACTCCAGTCCTCAAACTGACATCTTTGCTCTCAAACACTTTAAAGAGGTCTTGCACAGATGGTTTGCCTAATGCCATGTGTCACTTGATTTCTTGACTGCTACTATCTTGAGTGTTGATGGTGGATCCAAGCAAAACAAAATTTTTGAAAACTTTAATCTTTTCTCTATATATCATGATGCATTTATTAGTCCAGGGGTGAAGATTTTTGCTTTCTTCACATTGAGGTGCAATCCATACTGAAGGCTGTGGTCTCTGATCATCATTTTAAGTCCACTTTACTCTCAGCAAGCAAGGTTGTATCATCTGCATATTAAAGGTTGTTAATGAATCTTCCTCCAATCATGATGCCATGATCTTCTTCACATAATCCAGCTTCTCAGACTATTTGCTCATCAAACAGATTTGAGTAAGTATGATGAAAGAATACAACCCGGACACACACCTTTCCTAGTTTTAAACCATTCAGTTCCCTTGTTCTATTTGAACGACTGCCTTTTGGTCTAAGTACAGGTTCCTTATGAGCACAACTAAGTATTCTGGAATATTCATTCTCCACGAAGTTATCCATAGTGTGTCATGATTTACACAATCAAAAGCCTTTGCATAGTCAATAAAGCACCAGTAAACATCTTTCTGGTATTCTCTGCTTTAAGTCAAGATCCATCTGACACCAGTAATGATATCCCTCATTCCACATCCTTTTGTGAATCTGGCTTAAACCTCTGGAAGTTCTCTGTCTATGTACCGTTGCAGCTGTTTTGAATTATTTATAGCGAATTTTAGTTGCATGTGTTATTAATGATATTGTCTGATAATTTCCACGTTCCTTTGGGTCACTTCTCTTTGGAATGGACACAACTATGGATCTCTTCCAATCAGTTGGCCAGGTACCTGTCTTCCATATTTCTTGGCAGAGATGAGCGAGTGCCTCCAGTGCTGCATCAGTTTGTTGATGGATTTACATTTGTATTCCATCATCTCCTGGAGCCTTGTTCTTTGCCAATGCCTTCAATGCACCTTGGATGTCTTCCTTCAGTACCATTGACTCTTGATCATATGCTATTTCTGGAAATTATTGAAGATCAACCATTTCTTCTTGGTTCAGTGACTATTCTTCCCATTTTCTTTTGATGCTTACTGCATCATTCAACATTCTGCTCATAGAAACCTTCAATATTGCAAATCAAAGCTTGAATTTTTTTCTTCAGTTCTTTCAGTTTAAGAAATGCTGAGCATATTCTTCTTCCCTTTGGTTTTCTAACTCCAGGTCTTTGCACATTTCATTATAATACTTGACTTTGTCTTCTTGAGCTGCCCTCTGAAAATTTTTGTTCAGCTTTTTTACTTCCTCATTCCTTCCATTTGCTTTAGCATCTCTTCGCTGGAGAGCACGTTTCAGTCTCGTCTGACATCCATTTTGGTTTTTTCTTTCTTTCTTGTCTTCTTAATGACCTTTTGCTTTCTTCTGTATGATGTTCTTGATGTCAACCCTCAATTCTTTTGGTCTTCGGTCATTAGTGTTTAATGCATCAAATCTGTTCTCGAGATGATCTCTAAATTTGGGTAGGATTTGTTTAAGGTCACATTTTGTCTCCTGTGGACTTGTCTTCATTTTCTTCAGCTTCAGCCTGAATTTGCATATGAGTAATTGATGGTCTGTTCCATAATCT